AACACTTGTTAGAACTCAGACGCAGAATGCCAATCGTCGCGATATCCGAAATCGATGCAAGCGCCAAACTACCGGTACGCGGGGGCGGTGCTCGCCGACTGGGGCGACGTTGCTGTGTGGAAGCGCGGCTTCCTCGACGCCGCAGCTGCGCAAGGCCTGCGTGAGTACTACACAGTGAAGGACCATGCGATCGACCCAACCATCTCGCCTACCCGACGCGCTGAGATCCACGCGGCTGCTGAGATTGCCGTGGCGCCTGTGGCACACGACTTGTCATCAAAAGCGTTTGGCAAGGCTCTGCTGGCGCGCACACACGCGATCATTGCGTACGTGGCTCACGCTGTCACGACCGAGGAAGCAGCGGCCCGAGTGCGCCCCATTGCAGCCGTGGACTTTCTACTCTCGGCGCTCTCGCCCCATCTCCACAACGAGCTTGGCGACTACAAGTCGCCGTACGCGCTCTGGACTAAGATCCACGACAAGGGCTACGTGCTCATGGACGACTGCCGCCTCTTTGGTCTTCTGGAGCACGTCCGATTTGCTGACGACGACGAGCTCCCGCATGCCCTCGCACGCGTCGAGGAGCACATCCAGCGCTTCGTCAACGTCATCTTTGTGCCAAGCCATGGCTCTGATGCGCGGCTTGTGGCAGCTGCCGATCGCTTGAAGATGGCACTGCTCTGCAACGCGTGTCCGCTAGAAATGGCTCGCGTCTTTGAGGCTTGGCGCGCCGACGAGCCCGTGTGGGACTATGCATCGATGCGGCGTCGGCTTGTCGAGCAGTGTCAGTCGCAACATCAAGACTCTGTGGCCAGGGCCGTCGTTGTAGCACCAGTGGTTGCTGCGCCAAGGGCCGCCAGCATTGAAGCACAGTCTACCTCGGTGTCTACCAGAGATACCGCCATCGCGCGCGTCGACAGAAACAACGACGCGAGCGCGTCACAAGGTACCTTTATCGATGCTGCATGAGGTGTCGAGCCAACGATGACGACGTAGGCGTACCAGTCGCAACACGACCGAGAAAAAATGGTAAACGTAAAAAGCACGGTGCAGAAGCTGCAACATATGGCTCACACAGGTACGGACCATGCTCTTCGGGACCTCCCAATTTCTCATGATTTGCGTAGCCACCACGCGAGCAGCAAGCGGCGAAAGCACAAATCGCCGCCGCCGTCGTCGTCACCAGGTACGAGCTTGCGTGGTCGGCCCAAGTTTCTTGAAGCATGCAATAGTCGAGCTCAAGGGCGAAGTCGTACGCGCGCACTTGCCATCACAGCTGCAAGCTGGCGCTAAGCCGTACCCAACCCCTCTGTGTTGCAGTCTTTCACGTGACACGATAGAGCTGCAGTGGCGCCTACAGGCGACGGGCATTCGAGCAGCCGCACAACCCCCAGCGCGGCCAAGAAGCAACTTGAACCTATAGTGTTCACACAAGCAGAGCTGGCATTTTTTGAGGCTTCGAAATATTGCAGACGCCAAAGAGAGATCTTCCAGCTTGGGCAAGCCCAAGGTCTCTTCATCAACAAACCCCCGAAACATATTAGGGTAAATCTGCGACATTTCCAATCTACCGGTATTGACAATTATGTCTGTAGAGCGAGCTCAATCGGTTGCGTCTCATGCGCAAGGCCGCGGCGGAGGTTCAAACGTGAGATCAACTCCTCTCGTGTCTCCCGACTCGGTTTTGATACCAAATTTATTGTTGATCTTGAGATGTGCACCTGCAACAACGCTGCATCATTCATTCGCTCAGATCTGAGAGATCTACTACTAGCGACATACTGCTACCTGCACATGCAGGAGGTGCTACTGGCTGGTATGACCGACTCAGTACTGGTGTCCGGTAATACTTCGAGGTCGGACAGCCTCTAGTGGCTGTAGCGGCGACGACGCACCGAGATTACCAGTAGTATCAAGTTGATATATCATTCCTTGTGCACAAAGTCGTCTACATCGCAGTGCTGACCTTGCACTGACCGTAGCGCGAATGGAAGCTTGTCAAGCCACAAGGCGAGTTGGTCCAGAGAGCCTCGCCGGTATCGGATACCAATCGCAACTGCGCTGTCGGCGTTGCAGAGCCGCATGTTACGCGGCATTGAGCAACATTAGTGATGATTCAGTAAAATTCCATTATGACATTATGATGACAGTAGTTTTTGCTGTGCGCTGCGCGTGCCAGCTCATCACACTAATAACACTTGTTCGATACAATGCATCGAAACACATGTTCGGAGAACCTGCGAACCGTCGCAAAATGCCAAGAGCCATGGCGCCATTCGCGGGGCTGATGCTCACCGACTGGGGCGGCGTAGCTGCGTGGAAGCGCGCCTTCCTCGACGCCGCAGCAACCCGCGGCCTGCACCAGTACTACACTGTCCACGACTACGAGGACCCAGTGACCATCTCACCTGCCCGACGCATCGAGATCCACGCCGCCGCCGAGGCCGCCGTGCCGCCCGTGCCGCACGACTTGCCGTCGGCCGCGTTTGGTGACGCTGTCCTAGTGCGGGCCCACGCGATCGTTGCGCATGTGACCGCCGCCATGACGGCCGAGGCAGCGGCAGTCCGAGCACACAACGTGGCGGCGGCCGTGTCTTTTTTGCTGTCGGCACTCTCGCCCCACCTTCGCGACGAGCTCGACGAGAGCAAGTCGCCGTCTCTGCTCTGGGCTGAGGTACACGCCAAGGGCTTTGTCCTCATGGACGACTGCCGCTTCTTCAAGCTCCTAGAAAACGTACGTTTTGCCAACGACGACGAGCTGCCCGACGGCCTCACACGCGTCGAGGAGCACATCCAGCGCTTCGTCGACGTCATCTTTGTGCCAAGCCATGGCTCTGATGCGCGGCTTTTAGCGGCTGCCGACCGCTTGAAGATGGCACTGCTCTGCAACGCGTGTCCACCACTGATGGCCAAAGTTTGTGAAGCCTGGCGCGCCGACGAACCAGTGTGGAACTATGCATCGATGCGGCGTCGGCTCGTCGAGCAGTGCGAGTTGCAGCATCTTGGCTTCGTGGCCAATGCCTCGCCGGCGCCCGCAGTCGATGCTCTACATGCGCAAGCAGTCGCTGCGCCGCCTGCGACAACGGCGAAAAGCCTGGAGGCCGTGGCCCACAACCCATCATCGGCAACGAGCGCAGCGGGTATACCATGCAGCCTCACCAGCGAAGTTATCGGACGTGACGCCGACGACAGCGAGGACGACATGGGTGAGTCACAGCGACCGCAAGATGGCGATGCGCATGAAGCCGTAGAGCTTAGCACCGGCGATGACGATGACGTGCCAATCGCAACACAGCATCGAGGAAGAGGCCGGCCTAAGAAGCGCCGCCCCGAATCCTCCGTCCATGGTTTGCACAATAGCACGAGGTACGAACCCTGCGCAACCATGGTTGGAGTCATGAGGTTCGTACCTGCGTAGCAATCAGCAAAAGCGCAAGCGGCTCGCGCCCGAATCAGCGGCGAAGGCTCCGCGATGTACGGGCTCTCACGGTCAATTTCTTTGGACACTCAGGCCTGAAGCTATAGGTGGTACCGCCTTCGAGCTCAAGGACAAAACCGTCCCCAAAAGAATGTCGGCGCGACTGCACGCCGGAACCCTGCGGTACGGAAGCAATCAATACTAATTGCATCCTTCCATGTTGCGCGATAGAGCCATGGGAGCCGCGCCAGTCGAGTGCGACGTTCATGGCAGCAGCACCAAGTCGGAATCCGACGACGGCACGTCGGTCCGTAATGCAGCAAAGACCTGCAGGTACAAACCAGAAGAGGTCGAGTTTTTGCGCAGTGCACTTGCGAACACCACCGACTCGGACCAAATCATCTACGAGCGCGGCCGTGCGCAGGGTCTCTTTGCCAACCGATTGTTGTCCTCGGTACAGGTAATTCCTCGCCCTTGAAGCAATAGGTCGTGGACATTGGCGATGATAGAAGAAGCTTTTGCGGATGAAGACCGTCACGTCCGCTGCTACATTGTCTGCCTAAAGTTGAACATTGTGTGTCTACTTCCTCATTGAAGAGAGTGCTCATGCTTGATGTTTTTCGTTGGCGAGAAGGGACGGGCTATCGTGAGTCCACTCGTTCCGAGACTGCGATGGTGCCGACTACAGGTGTTTGGTGCTGCCAAAGGGACTCATTGCCACCAACCGGGCTGCATTTGTCGGCTTGTCGCACTGGCTCGCGGCTTTGCTTGCGACCTCGTACAACGGTGGCGTCCAAACCGGTAAACGTGGACATCACAACATGAAGATACATGCTGCACGCAGCGCGTGCCAGCTCATCACAGGTGTTAGAGTTATCATAACATGTTCGTACCCAATATTTCAAGCAATATAATTGGGCAACGTGCATCTAACAAATGTGTTGTGCGCGTTAGAACGCAAGCTCCAACTGCCAATTGGAAATGCAAGCAAACGGCAAGCCAAACCACTACACGGGGCCGGTGCTCGCCGACTGGGGCGGCGTCGCTGCGTGGAAGCGCGGCTTCCTCGACGCCGCAGCTGCACAAGGCCTGCACAAGTACTACACTGTCCCCGACTACGCCGACCCCGAGGCCATCTCGCCTGCCCGACGCGCTGAGATCCACGCCGCCGCCGAGATTGCCGTGCGCCCGTAGCACATGAGCTGCCGTCGGCCGCGTTTGGCAAGGCTCTGCTCGCGCGCACGCACGCAATCATTGCGTACGTGGCGGGCGCTGTCACGACCGAGGAAGCGGCGGTCCGAGCGCACAATGTGGCGGCGGCCGTGTCGTTTCTGCTCTCGGCACTCTCGCCCCGCCTCCGCAACAATCTCGGAACAGACAAGTCGCCGTACGCGCTCTGGACCAAGATCCACGACAAGGGCTACGTGCTCATGGACGACTGCCGCCTCTTTGGTCTTCTGGAGCACGTCCGTTTGGCCGACGACGACGAGCTCCTTCATGGCCTCGCACGCGTCGAGGAGCACATCCAGCGCTTTGTCGACGTCATCTTTGTGCCAAGCCATGGCTCTGATGCGCGGCTTGTAGCGGCTGCCGACCGCTTGAAGATGGCACTGCTCTGCAACGCGTGTCTGGGAGATATGGCTGACACCTTTGAAGCTTGGCGCGCCGACGAGCCTGCTTGGGACTATGCATACATGCGACGTCGGCTCGTTGAGCAATCCAAGTCGCTGCATGGCGGCTTTCTGGCCGAGAACATACCAGCAAGGGCCGTCGATGCTCCACAGGTGTTGATCCCTGATGCGCCGCCCGCAACCGTGGCCGATATGCTAGAGGTGCCGCTTGCAGCCGCAGTCTGCGGCCCAGCGACGGCAACAAGCGCGGATGACCTAGCATCCAGCCCCCGCGCCGCCGCAAAAGCCATCGACCGTGACGTCGACGGCAGCGAGGATGACATGGGTGCGTCACAGCGACCTCAAGATCTGTCGAAATGTATGAAAACGTAGCGCTCGCGACCGAAGACGATGATGACGCGCCAATCGCAACAATCGGCAAAGGACGACGCCGACTTAATCTTAAGAAGCGCAGTCCCGAAGCCTCCGCGCATGGTGTACGCACTAGCACGAGGTACAGACACTGCGCAACCTAGTATGTTGAAGAGCCGACGTTTCTACTTGAGTAGCAACCAACAAAAGCGGAAGCGGCTCGCGCACGAATCAGCGCCAAAGGCTCCGCGATGTACGAGCTCTCACGGTCAATTTATCTCGACACTTAGGAATATAGGTGGTACCGCCTTCGAGCTCAAGGAAGAAGTTGTTGCCACACGGTCCTCGGCGCGACTGCATGCCGGAACACTGCCGTATGGAAGCAACCCGTCCTTATTGCATCCTTCCACATGCCGCAATAGAGAGACGGTCGAGTGCGATGGGCAGGGTAGCAGCACCGAGTCGGAATCTGACGACGGCCCGTCGGTCCGTGGTGCAGCGAAGACCTGCAGGTACCAGCCGGAAGAGATCGAGTTTTTGCGCAGAGCACTTGCGAATACCACCGACTCGGACCAAGTCATGTACGAGCGTGGCCGTGCGCAGGGTCTCTTTGTCAACCGCTCGTTCCGAGCGATTCAGGTAGTACTTTGCATGTGATGCAATAGGTCGTGGACATTGCGAGGTTAGAGCAAGCTGATGCGGATGAAGACGACGTCTGCTGCCACATCGTCTGCCTAACGTCGACGGTTGATGCAAAAGAGCACTCCCGTTGCTTATGTATAAGGGAGGGTCCGCCCTTTACGTCGCCGATGTGTGGTGTCTTGGTATTGCAGATGGGACTCGGTGCCACCGACCGGACTGCACTTGTGGGCTTATCCCAAGCTCACAGAGATGGGCATTTTAGCGCTTAGGTCAATAACGAATAGCGTCATTGACGTTAGCGCCAGGAATGCCAGTTGTCGTCCCCGAGGCTAAAACGCAAGTCCATATGAGACGAACGAGGTTCGTGTTGGGAGGCCGCCGCCCAAGAAGGGACTTGTGGGTTAAAAGCGTAGAGTAGCTACGAGACTTGGAGCGTGATGAGCCAATTGCAAATGAGCTTGCTGGCTCGGTCTTCGATCATCGTGGTCACGTCTTGCGAGCGGACTGCACCGCCCTCTCGTCGACGTGACTATGGCCATCGGATATGCATCTTTCTCGCGGTGCTTGTGCACCTTGTACGCGTTAACAACACTCTTGGCCCGTGTGCTTCCGGTGCAACGCCTTGGCGTTCCAGCGACCTCCTACAATGGTGATGTCGTTATAATGTTCATGGAGAAATAGGACAATATTGTACGCAGTGAAATGGTCGTGAGCGTAACGGTGCTGTACGAGCCAGGACGCCTTGCTCTCAATGTCGTAGCCACGCACAAAGGCATGACCTTGGTGCTGCCCCCACAGCCGAAGGTCCATCGAACCCACGACTCCGAGAAAGCGCCGACACACCAGCGTCAAATTCAACCGGTCCTTGAAGTTGAGATAAGCTTACGAGAGCACGAAAGCCAATGACAAGTGCGATGCCCGATTTGTTATAACACATTTTTAATGCTGATCCATGCAATTTTTAATTGGCGACGCGGGTCTAACACAACGTTACGCGGGTCTAACACAACGTTATGTGCGTTAGAACGCAAGCTCCAACTGCCAATCGGAAATGCAAGCAAGCAAGAAGCCAAACCATTGCCCTCGGTACACGGGACCGGTGCTCGCCGACTGGAGCGGCGTCGCTGCGTGGAAGCGCGCCTTCCTCGACGCCGCAGCTGCGCAACGCCTGCACAAGTACTACACTGTCCCCGACTACGCGGACCCAGAGGCCATCTCGCCTGCCCGACGCGCTGAGATCCACGCCGCCGCCGAGGTTGCCGTGGCCCCCGTGGCGCATGAGCTGCCGTCGGCCGCGTTTCGCGCAGCTCTACTGGCGCGCACGCATGCCATCATTTTGCACGTGGATGACACTATGGCGACCGAGGCAGCGGCGGTTCAAGCACGCACTGTCGCAGCGGCTGTATCCTTTTTGCTCTCGGCGCTGTCGCCCCACCTTTGTAGCAAGCTCGGCATGTGCAAGTCGCCGTACGAGCTTTGGGCCAGCCTGCATGCCAAGGGCAACGTGCTCATGGACGACTGCCGCTTCTTTGGTCTTCTGGAGAACGTACGTTTGGCCGACGACGACGCGCTGCCCGACGGCCTCACGCGCGTCGAGGAGCACATCCAGCGCTTCGTCGACGTCATCTTTGTGCCAAGCCATGGCTCTGATGCGCGGCTTGTGGCGGCTGCCGATCGCTTGAAGATGGCACTGCTCTGCAACGCGTGCCCACCGGCGATGGTCGACGTCTTTGAAACCTGGCGTGCCGACGAACCTGCATGGGACTATGCATACATGCGACGTCGGCTGGTTGAGCACTGGACATCGTCGTGTCTCGACTTGGCGGCTAATGACTCGCTGGCGCCGGCTGGCGATACTCTACAAGCACATGTGCGAGCTGCTGTGGGCCACGACCCAGCGACGGCAACAAGCGCGGATGGCCGAGCATCCAGCCTCCGCGCCGCCGCAAAAGCCATCGACCGTGACGTCGACGGCAGCGAGGATGACATGGGTGCGTCACAGCGATCTCAAGATGTCGAAATGTATGAAAACGTAGCGCTCGCGACCGAAGACGATGATGACGCGCCAATCGCAACAATCGGCAAAGGACGACGCCGACTTAATCTTAAGAAGCGCAGTCCCGAAGCCTCCGCGCATGGTGTACGCACTAGCAC